CAACAAAGGCTTTTGTACAAAGTATTAGATAAATTTCAGTAAGTGTGTTCAATACTTATTCCCTGTGCCATTCCACTGGTTTGATTTCTTTGTATGTATGGATCACTTGGGTTGTTACCGATATCTGGTGAAAATTTCATGTCATTAGCACCTCTAGTAATATATTTACTGAGAAAACTGGTGACGTGTTCAATACTTATTTTACCTGCTGTATAAACAATATTTTAACAACAACTGAAGGTGACACAGTTACTTTATTATGGTATATATTTTAAAAATATGCCTGAGAAACACACAATATAGCCCCTTTAAGACTATTTGACAGCAATGTTAAATAAAATACATTGGAAAACAACAAAGGCTGGTGTGACACAATACTTTACCAGTGAAAATATTAACTCTTAAAATGGGTTTTGCAAGCAGACCTTATGCCCCTTTGGATAGTATCATATACCAATCTTTTCCTTTTTTCTTTACAGATGGAACCTCTAATTTTGGTGGGGTGGGGGGGTGTCCCGCTTACATATCTTCAACATAGTTCTAAACAATCTTAAGACTGAGGGAAAACTGTACCTGTGCTTGACCTACATTGAAAATGTTTCACCATTTTTTGCCTTTCAGACTGAAAACGTCTTTAATGTGGCTACCGTGGTAGAGTTTTTGTTTACATATTTTCATGGCAACCAAATGCCTCATTCTCTGTGAATGTGGTTCATTTTTTGGACATTATTGTTGTGTATCCATGCAAGTCAGATGTTTAGTAACCTGTTGTTTTAGGCATATGGTTTTCCATTTTTTTGCAAAACAGAAAATAACTTAATGTTGTAAGTTATATGACCCCCTAGTATTACAAACAGAAATGGGACACCCACAGAAGTGATAGGGCTAAAAGGTGGGAGTGAATGGCAAAAACTGGATTCAGTTGTAGTCTTTTCAAARCTAGTGAAAAGTACCAGAAAATAACTTGTGATGCCATCTAAAAGGATAGAAGCAAGATTGACATGTACTGTGTGTTAAATGTGTAAGTTTGGAGGTGAGTTGTAAAATAAAAGACATTAACACTGACCATTTGACACAGTCTGTACAAGTATAAAGACAAACGTTTTCTTACTACAGATGAAAATATGTGTTTCTATTGTAGTCACACAGAAAATTCCACTAATCATCTAAATATACTTTGAGATCTGAACAAATCTATTTTAGTAAAACAGTTATTAAAAACACCAGAAAATGATGGATTTTTTGTAAATTTTTTCTTGTGTTCACATTGTCTTTTAGTCACAATATTGTCTTTTTCATGCCTTACCTGTTGGGCACGTGTCATGTCCATCRGGTACTTCCTGCAGGGGTATCTCATGGGGTTGAAGGGGCCGAGAGGGGTAAAACTGCTGCTGAGGGTGAATCACACCTGGGAGCTGGGTCTGAGGGCCCATTGCAATTCCTCCAGCCTGTCTCTGTAYAAACAAAATCAATTAAAAAATCATGGTTTACTCAAAGTGAAAAGAAGTACATTGAAGTAAAACACAAACTGCTTCTGCACCACCACTGCTGCATGACTTATCTGTGTAACCTTTTGTTATAGCATTTATGTTTGCATTGTCTTAATAAAGAAATGTAGCTAAATTTGACTTTTTTCTTTATCTTCTTTGTGTGTTTTTTCTTAATGTTTTCTTTTTCTTTTCTTTTTTTCTGCGTATCACAGACATTTTCATGCAGGAGGCTCCAGTAAGAGGATGGAAGTCTGAAGTCAGCAGTTGACAGTCGAGCCAGTGAACTTTGTGTGGATAGAGAGAATTAGCCATGGGGCTTTTTTTATTTCAAATCTACTTGTTTTTCTTTAAGCCTATCAGAACTGTTATTTGACAGCAAAATTTAGTTTAAAATCTTGATTTTAAACTGGCACAAACATATGATTTATTTTCCTTATGGAATATAAAACGCTTGTGTGATTTCATAACATGTGCTAGTGTTTTACAAAGGTTTCTCAGGTATAGTCTCCTTTACCACTGCTAACATTGTGCATCAGCAACATATTAAACAAAACTAAGAGCAATCTAAGGGTTCAAATATCGTATGTCATATGTGTACAGTATCTGACAGCCCTGCAGACGGAGAGACTGCCAATCTGATAAGCAGCCCCATTTTAGCCTCAGTGGCATTTATCAGAGGCCAGCCAGCTTCAAGGATGGCTAATGTGGTCAGAGACTCAGGGAGGCCAGCTTCAGAGATCTGCATGGAGCCCTGCTATCGCCTATCAAGTCTGTCAGCAAGCGGGGAGGCGTGGAAGCAGCTACATGGATGGGGTTTAGATTATGTACTGATAAGAGTGAAGATAACATAAACAGCATAGTATCTTTTGATCAATTTGAATGTAGAAGAAWGTAAMAAWGATAACCAAGACRGYATTTTGGAGGAGGTTTCAGTATCAGTTAGAACTTGGCAACTGTCTTATTACGCAGTAGTAYTGAAAGTAGTTTCTACATGTCCACCTTTGGAAATATCTCCTGTCAACACTGTAATTCAGACTGATAATATTAAAACTTGTTCTTGGTCATCTTCGTGTCAAACAAATTGTATAGTTTTTTCAGCTAGACCCAGTTTTTACCTGCTGTTAGCATGAACTTAGCTATATTTGCAAATAAATCCTATTTTAGTCAACAGTTCGACAAATTTACTCCAGTTATGACTGGAAACGTTTGAGTTTGATTGTTTTACGTTGGCTGATCATCACGTAACACATCCATATTCTACACACATTAACGCATCCTTGAAGAAAATTGTCAATGGCYGGTCTCGCCACTCCAAGGCTGCAAACTAAAAATGTCCTGAAGGCTTAAAAAAAAAAATACAGACTGAGGGCTGACAAATACACAATTTAACTTGTTTGGGTTAATATTTTCCAAGTTTTGTTCTGAAATTGTGAAACCCACAGCTTTATGACTTTATTCAATGTATCAGTCTGGTATCACTTGGCAATAGTGTCAAAAATTACACTGAGCGCAACGTTTTGTTACAATTTTTTTATTTTACACAAACTGTTTCTTAGAAATAATTGATTTTCATAAAAAACTTTTTATGAAAGATCTTTTTATCAGAAACATTTACTAAAAGTGGTTTTATAATTAATGTTGGACTTAGCCCTGGCCCTTCCCTTTATGAATCAAGCCAAATTACCAAATCAGCTTCCTCAACTATCACACTCTAGCCTTCCTCATGAAACAATTCTTCTGTGGAGTTATCTGGTRGTGTATCTACCATGACAACAATCTGCATTAAAGATTAATTAAAGACTATATGCAATTCTTAAGTTGTGTAAGAAATGATCTGAGTTTTTGAGACAGTGATCCATGCCTTTGTCACCACCCRGCTGGATTACTGTAATGCACTTTATCTGGGGGTTAGTGGGTCCTCCATCGCCCGACTGCAGATGCTGCAGTGAGGCTTTTAACTGGCACACGTAAATATGAGAACATTTCTCCCTTTTTAGCTTCACTCCACTGTTGCCTGTGCCTTTTAGGATCCATTTTAAAATACTTTTATTTGTTTTAAAATGTTTGAATGGCCTTGCTCCACCATACCTGTCTGATCTGCTGCACCCCTATAATCCCTCCCGCTCCCTCAGATCAGCTGATCAWCTGCTCCTGAGGGTCCCTAAAACCAGACTTAAACTCAAGGGGGATCGATCTTTCGCTGCAGCAGCTCCTAAACTTTGGAACGAGCTACCTGTCCAACTTAGACAGTCCTCTTCACTGCTGTTTTTAAAACTCGTCTTAAAACCCACTTGTTTACTTTGGCTTTTGACACTGTGTGAGGGGTTGTGTTGTTCATTTACACTAGATTTTATTTTTTGTTTTTATTCTAGATTTTAAATTAGGTTTTAGGCATTTTATTGTTTGTATTCCTTGTTTTTACTTTGTGTTTTATTACCTGTTTTAATTTTTCTGTGGTTTTTTTCCTATTTTTAATTGTGATTGAGTTTGTTTTTTGTATGAGATGTGTTGCAGTGCTGATTCTGTACAGCACTTTGGTCTACTATGGTGMAAAAAGTGCTTTACAAATAAAGTTGGATTGGATCTGTTCTAATTCTCCTCCCTGATGACAGATCATTTTGCCATAAAGTGCCTGTGACATAAAATGTTCATGTTTAAATATCATATTTTTTGGAACATTTTAAAAACTTGTAGTGAAAAAAAAAGCCACTGAAATGAGTAGTTGTCAGGATATTTGCATGCGCAGTAACAGGAAGTGATGACAAAGGGGAAAGTCTGCATGCAAGCAGAGCATTGCCACAGTGGCTTACAGCACAGCTAAAGAAACATTTGTTTAGACTATTTTGAAACGGTATCAGAGAGAGATGAAAAGGAGTCAGAATTCAAACAATATTGTCTCAACAAAGACCAGTGAGTTCCCATTTTTAGAGTTTCCCTTTGACATCATTTCCTGTTACACTACAGCTCCACTAAGTTTAACATAAAAAGACTAAGTGATAAAATAGGTAATATCCTGTGTATTAAGTCAAATTTCTTAAATATTCAGATATTTTCTTCCACTTTTAGTACATTGTACAAAATGCATGTCACTGACACTCTAAGGCTGAGCCCATCCACTGTACAAAAGAAGAGAAGAAAAGAAGAAAAGAAGCTCATTTCAGTTGCTTGTTTCTGGAACTTCATCATCCATACCTCATTGGCATGGATGAGAGTTAGAACAGAGATGGACCACTAAATCGTGAGTTCCATCCTAGCTTCATTCCTGAACAAGATGCCCAAGGCTCTTTCACAAGACCCCTCAAGCCGGGATTTAAATGCTTCCTGGCCACGTTGATGTATTTTCTGACTGGACCGAGGCAGAAGGGTCGAAGCCAACCTAACCCTAATGTGCTTTTGTGTCTCAAAACAAAGTAGTAGTGGAACCAAACTGGACAGCTTGTGAAACTSTAGGCCTACTTTGCAGCTCAGTAATAAGAGATTAAAAAACAAAGAGGTTTATTACTGAGGGAAGACCGATGATGACACACAGCAGTTTTGAATTTAGACCACAAAGAGAAAGGCTAAGTTAATTATCACATTTTAAATACCATATGAGAGCGACATTCATTTCAACCTGGAAAGACTCACACACAGAAATATAGCAGTYAAACAGTTTTATTGATACGAAAAAGTTCTTTGGCRCTCGAGCCCCGGCTGAAGACGTGGGTGCAGCGARCTACTGTGAGCTAGAAATCAGCTTAGGTTTTAGGTAGAACGGTCTTCCCAGTTTGGAGGCCAGAGGGAAGGTGTAGCCAGGAAGAGTCTGAGATGAAGGTGGAGGCGGGGTGGAGGTGGGTTGAACACGTCTGGAGAGCAGACCGATCCTTGGAAGCTGGGCCTTTAGACCTGGATCCATGTGAGTAGATTGGTATGGTGAGGCGAGGATCTGATGCTGATTGACTGCAGCTGGGAGCGTGACGGGGGTGATTGGATGGAGCAGGTGAGGTGGAGAGAGTCTTCCAGTCTGAATTTGTGCATAAGCTTCATTACACATTTGTGTTGTGTTCCATATCAACTCAGCTCTGCGCCTATTTTGGTTTTACGATGGCCACTTCATAAATCTGTCATTTCTTAATGGCCGGAGGCGGCATGAAAACGGGTTGGTTTTAGCGGCCGTTTGACAGAACTCTTTTGTGTAAGAACCTCCAGATATATGAACTCCTCCAGCTCTCATGGCAGAGTCACCATGACCCAAAGGGTGCATTTAACCTTTTCCTGGTTGAGAAGCATGGCATCAKATTTAGAGGACTGTCATCCCTGCCACTTCACACTCAACTACTATACAACCTGCCTCTTTGTACAAATTGCCCTCATTTATTATGAATAAGACTAATTAGCTTTTTGCAGCGAGGTGCCAATATAAAATATCACAAGCAAGTGTAGTGGCCATAGTTTTCTCAGTTTCTCTGCTTGTTGTCTTTGAAACATGCCTGTGGCGACAACAATGACTATTGAAAACATAATGCAAAACCTACCTGGCTTTCTACTTTTTATGTTTTATAATTCCTGTAAATTTAAGAGAATAAAGGCACCTAGGTGGCACAAGTTCACCTTTTGACCAAACAGCCCTGGTATACAGTATTCTCAATTTCAAAGGCAAGCCTCACCACCTGAGCCAATTARGGACTTGGGATCTGTAGCCTTCCATGTTGTCTATCAGGTCAGGGTGGGGTTGTCATTTGCATGTAACCTCGCTCTATTATCCTAATGTGCTAGCGCTCTGCATACAAATGGAGGCATTTATTGTGCTGCTCCTTGGCCTTCACCCTTCAAATGTTCACCTGACAGGAATTCAAATGTTCCCAGCTCCCGCTGCCTCTGACTCCGTGTTCAGYGCTCTCATTTGGCCAGCGTTAAGAGCCTCTGTGTTCTTGCAAACAGAGCAAAGTGGAGCGCCACGCGGGTGGCTCCGCTTTGAACAAGCRCCGGGCTGCACTTTGATTGGCCGGCGTCCTGCAGGTCCCGTGATTTACAATATTTGTTGCTAAATAATGGCACGGCGCAGAGCGGTTGTGCAACTGTCTTGTTCAACAGCTCTGTTTCCTCATGCTTAATGAAATCATGAGGAACAGCGTGTTCGAAACGAAACGGTATTAGTGCAACGATGGTGGACTAAATCGGTGAGAAAATGTTCGGATAAAGTGTGCAGCCATGAAGGGATGAAACTTAATCATTTGCATGCACACAATTCCACCAAAGCGACGTGTATTGCCTGCAAACACACACACACACAAACACTCACTCCATTACACTTGCTGACAGCTGCGTGGTAGGTAGCCTGAACAGAGAGATAATTTATGAGGGAGGTCTTACCGTTGCACCCAGACGGTCACAGGGGTGAAGGGCCGGGTAGGAAGAAACTGGATCCATGTAGTAACTCATCACGAACGCTGTGGACAGGAGAAACAGGGCCTGCTGAATGGATCAACACACAAACATCCGAGGCTTGGCTGGAATGACCTATCTATCACACGCTGTTTACACTTTGTGTGTACAAGAGTGTGGGATATACTGTGTCTGTGTGGGAGTGTGGGAGAGGGGTGGGAGAATGGGGGAAAGGAAAGGGGCTCAAAATCCAAAAAAAAAAAAAAGAATTTTGAGCTGGGATTTGTAAATTGTAATTACAAATATTCACTCAGAGAAGAAAAAATAGATTATAATTTAGCCATTTCCAAGTGTCTAAAGATATTAACATTTCTAATAAAACCATATAAATCGACAGTTTGAAGAAAACAAGCTTCTATCTGACAAGTCTGATGAGCTGACAGTCTGAATAACCATAGTGAAACGCTGTTATTGATAAATAAAAATATAATCTCAACATTACAAAATGGTTCATGCAAGTGCTTTTTCATAAACCATTACATTTGGAGTCCCGTAGTGATTTACAATCGTAAATAGCTCCAGCTGCAGCAAGCTGTAGCACTTCTGGGGCATCAAGGGGTCACATCTGGCAGGCGTTTCTTAACAATTCTGTTGAAATAACTGTGCTGTTCAAAAGGTGATGTTGTGTACAGGTTTAAATAACATTTACAGGAACTCTTAGGAAATGTTGAAGATTGAAGTTGGGGCCATCTGCTTTGAAAGTGGCTCCGTTTTYGACTGGCATGAGCATAAATGGCCAGTCTAAAAGTGCATAAATGTAAAACAGATCAAATTGTCATAACATAATTTACTCTATTTTCGAATATATACTTTTACATGTTGTCAGTTTCAATGGTCACTTGATAGAAATATTGACATTCCAGCTGTACTTGACTCTTGGATGCTCCAGAAGTGCTACTATTGGGTGCCTTGCTCAACGATTCCACGTCATGCGGGCATGGTGAGGAATCAAATTTGCGACTTTCTGATCCCACGTCAGCTGCCTACCACTGCACCACAGCCGCCCCACTGCCCAGTTTGCTTCTGCCGGGGCAGTTTGTAAATATCCAGTTCCATGAAAACAGCCAAATAATGTGTAAAGTGACAGTGGTTTAAAGTTCATTAACTCACTTTGGGCTTATTGCATCTATAGCTGGTTTGACTGACAACTCTTGTTCTCTGGATTGAGGCTGTTTTAAGGGCTATGTGCAACAGGTAAGATATTCTTTATTCTGAACTTTTACAAAGAGCTCTTCAGCCTGAAAGGATTTGGTCTCCTCCTTTCATGAAACCCACTTCTTCCTTCTGTCTCCCTATTCATCTCCTCCTCCTCCTCCCCCTACTTATCACCTAACATTGAGCACTCGATGCAAAATTAAGCAACAAAAATAAATAAATAAAAGGGGAAACCGAGCTGAAGGATTACATAGGAGGAAGAAGATGTCGTGTAGCTACATGGGCAGTGGTATTTCGCTAAACAGGTCCCCATCTTCCCTGCATTCATATGTTAAGCAATTCGGCATTTTCCAGATTGTGGCAGCTGCAGAGACAGGCTGAGGGGGAAGATGCGCTCAATGCGTGCAGATGTTCAGCAGCTCAAAAAAAAAAAAAAAAAAAAAGGCTCAGACGCTCTTGTTTCAGGGGAGAGAGGAGGAGGTGAGGGAAAAGTACCCATAGAGAGTGAATACAACTCAAATCACTTCTGCCATTCACACGTTTGCATCGCCTTTAAATGTAACCCGTTTGGATTGGTTGCGAAAAAAAAAAGAAAAGAAAAATCACTCCGCGCGAGATGCAAGAGTGATGAGTTTTGTGATCTATGTTCATCCTATTTGTAGCTATAAGGCTTTATTTTGAGAAATCTGCTCAAAAAATTGAATGCAGTAAAAGTTAAAAGGCGAAAAAAACGGCTAAAATGTTTTTTTCTTTACACTTCTCCCTCTATAAGTCAAAAGGAGCGCATCTGTCAGGCGCGCTCCTCAGAATCCCGGTCGGGAAAAAAAAACGGAAACTTTAAAGGCAGCACTTTGACTCTCCTACTTCTTAATGATGATAATATGAAATATTGTGTTTTTTTTTTAAGCTTTGACATAAGTCTTGTCTGATTGGTTCGTTTGAGATCAGTCAGAATAATTAAATGAAAGTTCTTACTTACTGACAGCGAGGTGAAAAGTTTCCCTGTGATCTGGAAGCGCCGGACCGCAGAGATGCTGTACCTGCTGGCAGCGAGACCCACAGAGGAAGAAATATTCCACACACTTTTGTAGTCCCTCCCTCAGTCTCACGGTGATCATCTCCAAATCCCATTTTCCTCCGGACTTCACGTGCAGCTGTGAGCACACGCGCGTCAGGTGGAAACTTGTAGAAACTTCTGATGATTTACAGGTTTTTTTATTAGTCTTTATTGTATAAAATACCACCTAAATGTAAATACTCCAGAATATTAAAGCAACATAATTTTGACTCGTTTTTAGATTTTTATTTATTTATTTATTATGCAAACAATGACGCAATTATGTGCTTAAGATCAATCCAGTATTAAAAAGTCTTTATTTTGACGTGCAGTTAAATAGAATATATATCTTAAAGTATGTGTTTTCCTCTGACACAGGTTACCAGGAAGACAAATCAAAACAAAGCAAACATAGAAAAAGAAAAAAACAGGAAATAGGAAAATATCCCATGGAGCTTAACAATGACAAAGGCTAAACTTCCTGTGATATTGTCATGTGGGAGAAAGATAAATCATATCTATCTATCTATCTATCTATCTATCTATCTATCTATCTATCTATCTATCTATCTATCTATCTATCTATCTATCTATCTATCTGTCTTTAATTGGGGCACCTGATTGGCAGAATCTGGGGGCACCTAAAGCTCAAAGCAAGTGTCAATATCAATAGCAAAATAAGCTGTTTGGCAGAGAAGATTTGGCAAATGTTTCTTGTGCTCAACCCACATACTCTGCTTTACTGTTCATCCCACAAATGCATGTTCCTTACAAATGGGACACCATTTAAAAAGGATATTATCAGGTTTTCCATCTGTATATGTTTTATTGCCAAGAAGCATTGTTACAATAAAGAAATGATATATCAAGCACAATTTTTTACACATATAAATATTATCAAAATCCCTTTTCAGATCATAATGGAATGAGATTTATATTGTAGAGGAAACAAAGTCTTCATGTATACAGTATACAGTATGTAACAATCATGATGAGTTCCTAATGAGATGAAGGGTTCAAAACTTATAAAGTGCTATGGCATATGCAAGTACAAGTACTTTTATCTATACTTTACTTGAGTAATTCTTACATTTACATGCAACTATCTGTACTTTCTTTTCCTTACATTAAAAAAAGCCTCATCACTCCTGTTTCACTTGTTTTTGTTCAAAACAAACAAATAAACAAACAAACAAAAATCCACATTACTTTCTTTCRGGAATGCGTGACTTGATCTTATGATGGTTTTATAAACATCACATGACCAAACTCAGTATGCAACCAGTACGTTTCGACATGTTGGCTCTCAGTGGCACATAAACTCCAACAAAATATTTTTACGTGGCAACAATCACACGATGTTGTGAACAAAATGCACCCTCATGATGCAGTGGCAACACCTGCGATGCATTAAAGTGCCACAAGAGCAACGCAATATTGTGAAAGTGAGGATGGTGTTTGTGTCTTACAAGAAAGTTCTTAGCTCTGGTCATCTTTTCCTTCTCTTAACGYGACTCCTCAGCCTGGATTGTCTCTCTGTGACGCTACTTAAATGGTTCAAATCATACTAACTCGATCAGGGTGCCAGTGGCTCAGGAGGTAGAGAGTTTGTTAACAGAAACCAGAAATAAAGTCCTTGTCATGCCAATCATGCAGTCTCTACCTCTGTTGCATTCAAGTAGTAAYGTAAGACTTTTCTACTTGTAAAGCTGTTTTGATAAGTCATACTTATCAAAATTGTTTTCTAATGTTATAAACCTTCCTGAAACTGACAATGTTTCTTTGTAATTTAGCATTTATCTGAGATTTTTTGACTCTTTAATATTGTCTATTTAAAACATGTTGCTTTGCTGTGTTGTATGGAAAGTGCTGGTAAAATAAAGCTTGACTGATAGCATATTATGAGATTTTAATTAGTTAACTAGTAATTAGGTTCCTGCTATGTTTTTTGTTTTTGTTAGTAAAGCATATATTTGACCAATGAATCTGTAGCATCCTGATGTTGCTAAAGGTTGTTGATTTTTGATTATTTTCATGTATTTTAATACAACATGAAAACACGAGGCAAACAGTGAAATGAAGGTCAAAGGATCCTCACTCTCAGCTACTTAATTGACTTTTTTTTTCAGCATTTTTATTCCCACAACATCACTGATGGTCATATCCCACCCCCTCTTAATGCTAAGTAACAACCAAAGCTTGTGGGACCCTTGAATGGCTCACATCTCTGTGAAATGAGAGGTGAAGCTCCTCGCTGCACTAGATCTACATCTGCCTGCTCCAGTTGGGGATGCTGATAAAAATTTTATCAGTCAATTTGCGTATTTATCAACATATTTGCTTATTTCCACACCCCAACTGACAAGCTTTCCACTACACTGCAATATCCATCGTGATGCCCCCCCCCCCCCGCCTTCCTTTATCAGTCTGACACTCAACACTTGTGAGTGATCTGAAACACCTTGTGGCTCCGTGATAATTCCCTGACCCCGCTGAAGCATTTGTTTGAATTAGAAAGTGCATGGTTCAAAGCCCCTGACAGCCACTGCTCTTAACAGTAAATCTTGAGTCTGGGAGAAAAGAGGTGTGCGTGTGTCTGTGTGTAAAAAGCTCAGGAGGGACGGAGGGTTGGAGGGTCAAGTCCAAGGTGAGAGGCATGAAGTAGTACCATAAGGGGCTCAACACTTCTTTTCTCAAGACCTCATCTGAATCCCTCTGTGCTCTGTGGGCCTCAACGCCATGTGGCCCCTGAGGGTGGGGGGACACAGCTGGGCAACACGTCGAGGGCAAAAGGCAAGGGCATGACTTGTGTGGAGAGAAAAGCACGGGCACCCCCCCCCCCCCATGAGGAGACCAACAATTGGATAAAAGCGAGGCTCAATGTGATCCAGATCTTAATGTGATGCCGCGGCAATGCTGTTTCAATTAGCTGCAGCGTCAGTTCAAAGGCGAGGCCCCTGATACACTTCTGCTCTGCGTGAAGCCACTATCATCACGTCGGGCCTTGCCTTTCACCTCCCCATTACGGTGCCAGCTTTTTCCTCTCAGCGCCTCGGTTAGTCTGTCRGCTGCACTCATGTTTTACATTAAACAGATAGCAAGAGGTCTTCCTTCAAAGCTGGTAAAAAGCATCAGTCAAAGACCTGCAGGGTTTTATAACCATCACTTATTTAGCAGAAAGGAAAAAAAAAAACTCTTCACGTCTACAATAAATCTCTAATAAAGCCAGCCTAACTTGGATTTCTAAACTTAGGTGAAGAATGTATAATAAAACATGAATCTATTTTTCCCATTTTGTTTTGTTATTGGCAGATATACCAAAATCACCAAAATCAGTCAATGCTTTATGGTAAATGGTAAATGGACTGTTCTTGTATAGAGATTTATCAAGCCCCATGGGGACCTCAAAATGCTTTATTACAGTCATTCACCCATTAACACACACATTCATACACTGATAATGTTTAAAGCTTAAGATAAAATATATAAATAAAAGATGGGTGTGTTCAGAGGTTACAATTCAGATGCAGTTGTGTCAGAGGTTTACATACACACACTGTATCACAAACACAACTTTCATATTAATTTGTGTATTTTAATGATTAAGTTGATTGTTCAATTAATCAATTGACTGATTGATTGATTGATTGATTGATTGATTGATTGATTGATTGACTGATTGACTGATTGATTGATTGATTGATTGATTGATTGATTGATTGATTGATTGATTGATTGATTGATTGATTGATTGATTGATTGACTGATTGATTGATTGACTGATTGATTGATTGATTGATTGATTGATTTAACAGGAAAAGATTATTAAAAATCAAGCCTGACTCAGCATAATTGCTGTTTTACAACAGGTTCCTGTTCTGCAGCACATACACACTCAGAATTACAGCATCACAATCACATCATTATACACCATAGACACAAAGACAAACAAGCAWAMCAAWTWTMARRAAGGCAGCATTTGCAAAATAGGAYDTMTAAATRWGAGCACAACARAAAGTGTCCAGCAGATGGCAGACAAGATTCTTCTTAAAGGGCTGTAGTTTTGAAATGGACTTTATGTTTTGAGGAATGTCATTCCATGCTTTAGTATAAACATAGAAGAAAGACCTCTGGCTGTAACAGTTTTTAAAAGTTGTGCATGTGCAGCAGCAGCAATTGAACTGGGCTTCCACAGGGACTTTCCAGAGAGAGCTGGCAGACTGATCGGGACTGTGTCAGTTCAGTCCACCCAAGGCAGAATCATGACCAATGGAATCCTCTCATCCATGTGATTCTAAAGGCTGAGTTATGGTCGCGCACTGGAGCGCATCCTCACCGGCAGTGGAGGTGTTTCATACTTGGCGTTTACGTTGTTGTRGATTTCTCCAAAAWGACACGTGGAAGTACACTTTACAACTTGTGAAAATGCTGAAAGTAGGAGAGCAAAAGCTTGACAGACAAACAGACTGCACACAAAGGCTGCGGCGTGTGCATGTGGGAACTCTCCAACATCATGTCACGTCATGTGAACTCTCTTCTGAGACGCAGAAACTCGTTTCTTAATATCAGCTATGACATAAACTAAGATCTATGTTCTACCAAACATTTAAGTTCCTCTGTGTTTACAGTAATTATGGTAATAAACTCGTGCGCAAAGTTAATATTTTCAGACTCAGAATGGATGGATGAGCCGGGTGCGCAACACAGCAGCGTGCACACACATACACACGCACACACCGACACACAATCACTCATTCTTTGCGTGATAAACATATTGTATTCCTATTTTAACTAAGAAATTTTTCTCACACATTATATTTAATTCATTGTTTTTATGACTTTAGAAATCATTTCTGATCGCRCAGGGTCAAACGTGTCTTTCACACATGCAGGAAGTAATTTGCATCTGTTTAACATATGTAAATGAAGGTGTGTCAGGGGATGTGCCTCACATGCGCTCATTTTCACGTTAATTGTGATGTACAAAAGCAATG